TCTAATGCTCTTTCTTTCTCTGTGCCTATTACTTTTCCTCTCACACACCAGCCTGAGGGTGACCTCACTCATGACTGGAGGGCCTTTGCTCCTTCTCTTCTGAGGGTATCATCCTTTTCTGTGTATCTTTCTGGGGAGGACAAAGGATCCTGAGTGCACAGATTTGTCCAGGCCTCAGCTGAAGAGGGGCTGGAGATGGAGTTCTTCCTTGGGGCAAATCTGGAGCTCCTCCACATACACTGGATGACCTGAGCCTCTTACCTCTGAAAGAAACATGGGTCTTCTGGCTAAAAACCCTCCCATGAATCACTTACCAAAGTCCTCACCATGCACCAGAAGGCCCTGCAGGTTCTGGTCCCCATTAGCTCTCTGACCTCACCTTTCCCTCTCCTTCCATCATGCTGTGCCAGCCACACTGGCCTCTGCACTGTTGCTCATACAGGAGCTGAGTTCCACTCCCATACTTCTCCACTACCTTTTACCTCTGTCTAGGATGCTCTTCCCCCAGATATTGACCTCCTCTAGGTTTTAGCTCAAATGTCACAATCTTAGAGAAACTTTCCTTGACCTCTCTCTCTAGAAATGCTCCCCTCAGATTGAATTGCAAATGCAGCAATTAAGAACACCTGACAAATTGCTTACATTTCTGTGTGTGACACACAATTCCAATAGAATATACAGCTCCATGAGGGCAAGGTTTCTGTGCCTTTCCACATGGCTGGATTCCTAACTCGCGTTATAGTGCCTCACATGATATGGACAGAGTGAACACGAAGATGGGAAAAAAAAAGTGACATGGAATAAGCATTGATAAGAGAGTCACAATAAAATCCGAGGCTGTTGGGGGAAGCGGGGCCTGTGCACATGCTGGGCCTCAGGTCAGAGCGGCTAGTAAGTTGCTAAACTTGTGCTAAACTCTGCTCAAGGCCGAGCCATAAGCATCCTGGAACAGGACCAGCCCTACTGACACACATGGACTTTACCTCCTTCTTGTAGTTTTTGCCTTCCTCATTTGCATATTGGAACCAACCAATCCTCGCTAACCTAGCCAGCTACCCTTCCTTTCCACTAAAGAATTACACTTTGTGGGTTTTGCCCTTACAAACCCTGCCTTTCTTTGTCCTTTTCGGAGCGTAGTTTGGGTTGCTACCTGGACCTGCATCTCCCGTGTGGCAAATCCTTTTGCTCAAATAAGTGTTTTTTCTTCTTTATCAAGCCTGAACCTCTTCTTGGATTGAGAGAATGACTCTCAAATGCAAAGCTGGAGCAAGAGGCAGGGCCAGACAGGCCGAGGATTCCGCTAGCGAACGTGATCAGGGGTGACAAGATTGTGACAAAGCCTGTGGTCCTTATCTCACAGACTCAGTGTCCTTGGGGCCCCTGGGAGATGGCCCCTTCCCTAACAAGCCCAAAGATCCTGCTTTTCCTCTCACCTATTACGGACAGTTAAGGACTGAGGCCTGCCCCACACCAGGCCTCTGACCTCAGCCTGGAGCTCTAGCCCTCCTGCCCCTTGGGGAACTTTGGCTGCGTCCCCCCCCCCCCCCCCCCCACCTCAGACCTGTTCTGGATTAAGCAGGGAGGCACAAGCCAGCACAGTGCCCTGCACGTAGGAAACGCTTGTAAAGCACCCGGTTACCATATTGGCGCTGCAGGGAGGTAAATTTCAGTTTAGGAAGACTCTTGAGCCTTCAGTGAACTGTGGGGTTTTCCTCCTGACTTTGCCCTCCCACCTTTCGCGGACCAGCCTAGAATGGTCAAGGGTTTCTGCATCCACAAGCTGTTTCAGGTTCCCACCACGAAGGGGCGCGCGAGAGGGAACAGTTGCTCCCTGGGAGCTACCACTGAGGGGCTCAGAGGTAGGACATTCCACTCCCGGGTCTGAGGCTGCGCATTTTCACTTCTCCGGCTTCACCCGTCCGTTTCTACTTGGTCACATCCCGCTGGGCGGGGCGCGGGCTGGGAGGTTGGTTTCCAGGTGTGGGGGCGGGGTCAGGGACCGTGCTGGGCGGTGATAGGCCACAGAGAGAGTGACGGGTTAAGCCCTTCCTGGGCGCCGAAAGGTTCCAGCTGGATCCCTAATCAGCGGGACCCCGAATCTGGGCCTCTTCCTTCGCCTGCCCGGTTCCGCATTGGCCGCCCTGCCTGGGGTGACACGTTGATGGCAGAGCTGGCCCTGAGGGTGAGGCGTGTGCTAGTGTGTGTGTGTGCGTGCGTGTGATGTGGCTTTCCAGGAGTGCAGAATTTTTGTCCGAGTTGGGCTACTCACCCACGGACTGTCCGGACTGGGCTGACGAAGCCGCCCCAGTCCCTGACGAGGTTCGGCGCAACGGCTGGCTTTTGCCGGAGTCCGACGCCCGGTGCGCGGGTGTCGGTGCTGTCTCCACGTGAGCTCCTTCAGTGTGGGTTAGCCTTAACTCTGTCACCACCAGCCTGGCCAGGCGCGTTTGACAACGCACCGTCAGTCCTGCGGGTGCTTGCGGTTAAGGTCCAGGGAGAGGTCTCAGAGCGGGTTTGGTGTCTGTGCCCAGGAAGTAAAGTGTGTCCGGCCCTTTGGCGACGTGCATGTCGACGGGTGTGACATCACAGGTGCTGTTTGGGTACCTGTGATCTCTCCGAACGTTTTTGGGGGATTGTGAGTGAACGGGATCTTGTATCTGAGGCAATTTTGTGCACCCTGGTCTAAGCGTCTCTATGGCTTCAGCTGGGTGTGCATTTTCTGAGCTTTTGGGCATTGGTGTCCCTGGGCGTGGTCTCTCTGCAGGTGTCTGCACCCAGGGTATGAGGTCTCTGGGCAGTTGGTGTTTCTAGGTCCCAAGTTGTTACGTCTCTGAAGTGCTTGGGGGTGCGGGGGGTTTTATCCTAAGGTGTACTTACTTGTACCTGAGCTGTTTGGGCAGTCTGTGTCCAGGGTGTAGGTTCTCTGATTTGTCTGGGGACATTATCTTAAGGGTCTGTGGTGTTTCTGAGTTATTTGAACTTCTGCCTTTCTGTTTGTGCAGTCTTCGTACTGAGTTGGGAGGTGTCTGCATGCCTCGGATGTCTGTGTCTGGGGTGTGAGGCGTGGGCAGTTTTGTTTCCAGGGATGAGGACTTTGGTCTGTTGGGGAGGGGCTGTGTCACTGGGTATGGTCTCTGCTCTGTTTGGGAGTCTGTGACTCAAGCAGTGCGCTCTCTGTACAGAGAGTCTGTTTCAGGTTGTGTTCAGTGAGCTGTTTCTGGTGTCTTGGGGTATCTGAGTCTGTCTCCGGTGAGAGCTTTTATGTTTTTTGGTTGTGAGGTCTCTGTGTGGGAAACGAGGGTTTTGGAATCTGGAGCCCCCAAGTCTTGGCTGTGTGTCCTTGGGCAAGTCACTTGTCTCCTTGAGCCTCAATATGTATCATAATCAATAAAACAAAGCCAGTACCCATATGGAGAGCACTGTGCATGTCAGCAATGGGTGGAAAGGGCTTGGCTCCCAGTCAGTCTTCCCCAAGGACATTCTGAACACCTGCTGTACGCCTGAGCACTGCTGTAGGACTTTGGAGGTACAGGGAAGGAAAGCAAATTGACAAAGTCTCTGATTTCATGGAGTTGGTCAGTAAGTCTGAAACATATCTGAGAGTGGCAAGTGCTGTGGAGAAAAATAAGGCCAGCTCAGGGGAAAGAGTGTTTTACTCACTGTGGTCAGGGACGGTCTCCCTGAAAAGGCAATGGCTGAGCAGAGAACCTGGAGGCAGAGAGGGAGCAGGCCGTGGACTCCCTGGGGGAAGGGCTGGCCGGGCAGAAGGACCAGCAAGTGCAACGATGCTGATGGGAAATCCGCTTGGTGTGCTCCTGGGCATCGGGGAGCCCCGTGATGCTGGTGAAGCCCTCTTCAGTGGGTGTGGCACGTAGTGCTCAGGCGAGGTGTCTGGCGTTGCCATCTCTCTTTCTCTTCCGACCTGTGAGGGAGTTGGGTCACGCTCCTGTTCCAGACCAAGGACCTGAAACTCCAAGAAGTGGCTCGACCTTGCTCTCCTGCTCACACCCAAAATTGCTAAAAGAGGGGTGAAACATTCCACTCGTTCAGGAGAGGCAGAGGGTTGAGGGTCAGAGCTTCAGGAAGGACACCATGCACAATGAGTGTCAGCCACCCTGCCGATATAATTTAGGATAATACAGGAGTCAGGCCCTGTGGTGGCATTTCTACTCCTGATGGAGGAAAGCATGTTAGGGATGAGGGAGGACCCGGGGCAGAGGAGACAGGCAGGAGGGGAGGCTGGAGAACAGTGAGGAAAAGAGCTGGGGCGTCATAGGATTGCTGTGATTTGGCCCGATTGACCTTCATTGACTGGTTGTACTCAAATGTGTTCCCCTTTCCCCTTCCCTGCCCTTCATTTCACTTCCCTTCTTTTTTTCTGCCAGAGCAGTTGTGTCCTAAAGCTGTCCTGTCTGGTGCAGCAGAGCAAGGAAAGCAACTTGCAGGGTCAGAGACCAGGCCCAGTGGACAGGGCATGTGGACAGAGGCACTGGCTGTGGTGGGGGGACAGAGCCCCAGGGGGTAAGCAGGATGTCCCTGGGGTTGGGTGGAGAAGGCTACCTGGCTGAGGGATGCAATGCTGAGTGGGTTGCGGAGGTCAAGGGCAGGGCATTCTTCAGCACAGCATGTGAGGACGGCCTCTGTGTGGGGAAGGGATGGATTATATGCATTGGGATTCATCGGCTCAGTAAATGCATAAGGATAGTGGGAGCCATGAGTGTCAGATTAGAAAGGGCGGCGTCAAATGTGGAAAAGAAGAAAACAAGAACAAACCTTGAGGTGTTAGACTGGAATTGGAGGCCTCCGTGTGAACGCATGGCTTTCAGTATGTGTACATGCGTACCCACGGGCAGGTTGATGGATGTAGATGTACATATTTATGTGTGTGATTGGGCACATGCATCTATTCCAGTACGTGGTTTCGGTTACAGCAACACTGCGATAGCAATAGCACAACCAGCCCCCGGATCCCGGCTTCTAGACGTGATTCTCCACCGAGCGTTGGTTGCAGTGCTGCAGGAGGGAAAGGACCGATGAATCCGGCTCAATGTGTGCTGCCAGTAAAGGGTGAGTTCAAGGAATACTGGGGCGATGTCAGGGGGCACACTTGACAGAATGAGGACAAGTTTGTGTTTTGAGCTTTGAGATATTACTGACATGTAACATATGTAAGTTGAAGGTGTACAGCGAGATGATTTCATACACACACACACACACACACACACACACACACACACAGAGGGAAATGATGATGCAAAGGGTTTGATAGCACCTCCATCCCCTCACATAATGACCATTTGTGTGAGTGGTGAGAAGATTTAACCGATTTTCTGAACAACGCTCACTACACATCAGACTGTTGCTGACTGAGGTCACCAGGTGGTGCCTTGGATCCCCACGACTTACTCATCTGGCAGCTGGATGTTTGCACGCTTTGCCCAGCATTTTCCTCAGGCCCTGGAGCCACCATTGCAATCTCTGTTTCTGTGAGTTTGGATGTTTTGGCTTCCACATGTGAGAGAACCTACAGTATTTGTCTTTCTCTGTTGGACTTAGCACAGATCCTTCAAAGTCCATCCATAGTTGCAAAAAGCAGGGTTATCTTCTTTCTCATGGTTGGCCGATACCGTGTGTGTGTGTGTGTGTGTGTGTGTGTGTGTGCGCGCGCCCCTGCCAGGGGACATTGATGCCCAGATGGTCCTGTACGGGTCCTGGGACTGGGGTCCTTCTCTGTGGGAACAAGCCTTCTCTGGGCTAGGGCACCAGAGTGAAGGGGCAGGCTAGGTCTCTAAGCTGGTGGAGAAAGCTGTGTGACTTGGGAGAGCAGGTGAGATCAGGTGAAGGACAGCTGAGAGGGGGGAGAGACGACCTCCTTGGGTCAGGGGCAGGTGTCTGATAGGTGAAGGGAAGGCATGTGCCCTAAGTTCTGGTCGCCCTGGGCTTGCATACAATGGAGTTGGGTGCAAGAAAGGACCAAAGGCTGAGAGGAGGCGGTGATCATTGGAGGCATAACCTCACGTCCTGTGCCTCACACGGTCCCTGAGAAAAGCCTGTGGCATTATGGGGTCTAAAATGTCATCTCCTGTCCCTACTTCCATCCACTGGTCACGAAGACAATGGACGTGAGAGAAACTGAAGCCTTCAGGGAACAAGACCAGTGGGGCCGTGAGGTCTCTGCACAGACCCGCTGCCCTGCCCTCTGTTTGACTCTCGTGCTGGGTTCCTCATGTCACGTTCTTGCGAGCTTTCAGGTTGCTCTTCTCAACCCTGTGTCTCTCCCAGAGAGGCCGTACATTAGAGGCAGGCTGGCCACCACAGCAGTTTACTAATGTTCCTGAGAGTTCCTAGCAGAGTAAAACATCAGTGTGTAGGGCACTGTTGTGGCCACGCCCAGATTCCTGGGTGTGGATCACAGAATGCGCGGTTCGTAAAAGATCGAGGGTTCTGACTGATGGGAACAGGTTCTCTGGGAACCCCCCGGAACAGGGTGTTGGTCTTATCTTCCCTGCTGCTGGGCCTCTCTCTCCATTGTGAGGGTATAGAAGTGACAGCGGTTTGGTGCCCTCTCTGATGCACAGACCCAAGGCCAGACTTTGCCGCCAGGACACTGCCGTGCTGCCTGCTCTTGTGAGGAGGCTCCCAGATTGTCATTTCCACAAAGTACCCTGATCCCAATCTCGTCAAGCTTCCAGCTGAAAGACCTCTGTTGAAATCAGATTTCTGTTTGCCAAGCCGTCCCATGCTGTAGAACCCACATGTGGTGCTTGTTTGCCATTCATCTGAACCTTGTGCGGTGGCTACTGGATCTTACCCTTGACTGAACAAACACAGGCCACAGTGAGTTTTCCACAATGCCTCCTGACCAGCAGCTCCAGCACTTAGTGCTGGGAAACACCGAGCAAATTACTTAGTGTCTCTGTGCCTGATGTCTCCATTATTGAAAGGGAAGCACTACTTAGGACATGTAGCCACTTCAGTAGGGCACTGACTGTGAGAAGACAGAGGGAAAGATGTCCAGATAGTGCTTGGCATATGGAGAGGTCCCAGCCCGTTCCAGCTGCTGTCGTTACTGTTAATATTGTCGCCATTCCCACACTTCCCTGGAGCATGGTCCCTAGAGACGGTGTCAGGAGGATCTTGGACTCAGTGGAGGGAGTTTGCGCTATCACCCCGGCTCCTCCGAGACTCAAGACCTGAGTGTCAGGGGCGTGGGCCAGGGCATGTTTCATTGGCATACGAGTGTGCAGCCCCCCTTGGAGGGTTGGTGTGAGGCCGGCCTGCAGTGCCTGGGCTGCACCGTCACGGGCTCCAATGGACGATGTCTCTGGGGAATGAGAACCCCAACGACCTGTTGGTGGGATTTGTGTAATGCTCGGAAAACTAAGGGGTCCCGGGATTCTGCTGCAACATGAGTATGTACATTGTTCTAAATCCTTTTTTCGTTTCCATTGAATTTATTGGGGTGACCTTGGTTACGATATTTTGTAGGTTCAAGACCGAAATGGCAAGGCCAGGGAACCTCATCATGTGGCTTCTTTCACTGCTGGTATTTCCATCAAGTCCAGTTCTCCCAGGTCAGACTGTGAAGATGCGCATCAGGTAAAGACACCAAACTGTTCACAGTCAAACTTTCACCAGCCGCACTTCACTTCTTGTGCGGCTTTCACATCGTGCTTTGTTGCGTTTATTTTGCCTACCTTTCGTGTTCCTTATTTATCCAACAGAAGACTGATGTATTACTATTACCTGAACTAAATGGTGGGGAGTGGGAAACAGTGGAGAGTCTGAAGAACGTGCCTCGGGAAGAAAGGGCGGGGTGGACACCAGGGGGGTGAAGGTGGGGGTGGGGCAGGGAGAGAGGAGTGAGGGGGCAAAGGGGAGGGAGGGATACTGCGGGGAGCGAACGGAAAGCACACGTGGAGGGGCGAGAGAACAGAAGCTCGCACTTGGAGGCTTGCCCTGGGCCTGGCGTTGTTTTCGGCTCTCGCGCTACACATAGAATTTTAGAAGTCAGTGAGTACTCACAGCAACACTGTCAAGTAAACACTTTAATGGTAGCCCTTTTTACAGATGAGGAAACTGAGACAGAGTTGAACAGGTGCAGCAACGTACGCGAAGTCACCTGGCTAGCAAGTCAGAGTCAGATTTGTGCCGAGACCAGACAGGACCCTAAAGAGAGGTGGGACCTGCCCCTGAACTCCGGAAGGCACTTAGTGACAGGTGCTTTTGCATCAACAGCCCATGAGCGGTGCGGCAGCACTCGTCAGATTACACTGGGTGTGGGCGTGGACTGACCGTGGTGTCTCCTAAGTGCATGACGTACCGTGGGTGATGAGTCAGTGTGCACACATCAGACAACGGTCTCTGAACCGTAGCAAGGCATCTGCACGTATTTGCTGCTGTCGATGTCAGCACCAGCAGTCTCGTCGTCGTCATCGTTGTGGAGGGTAGCTTGCGGTATTAACTAAGCAAACAAAGCAACCGCTACGACATTATAAAGTCATTACACGCCCCTCCCAACCTCACAATTGTAAAAATGCATAGAAAAAGGCCTGGGAGGGAATAACCACGTACTAAGTCATTGTCTCCACGTGTGAAACTCTATAGATAGTTTTCAAATAACATTACTTACTGTTTTCATTTGCTGTGTCATCATTATTACATAGCCAGTGTTCCTATTACTGCTTTTTAAAATGGATTTTCTGAAGTTTCATTGTCTTAGGTATCGCGATGCCAGAGGGTAAAACATTGTTTGGAGATCGTCATCAGGTGGAACAGCCATCAGTGCTCTGAAAGCAGGAGATGGAGCTGCAGTGCAGTAGAGAGGAGCTGTGGGGAAGCAGAGAGGTCCAGGTGGAAGGGCAGCGAAGTCCGCAGGTATTGAGACATTGCCTCCATCAGGACGGGCCCCAAAGCAACCCGGACACAGCCCACACGTCCCTGATAGAGACATTGTCTCTGGAGAGGAGTGTGTGCATCAGGGCTTCTCAGACCTGCCCTCTCCTCTGGCTCACGGGCTGCAGTGGGGCAGAGTGTGGTTCTCCTGAGGCAGCAATGCTCTGAGCTCAGCTGAGGGTGAGAGTCGCACCTTCACCGGCTGCAGGGCTCCTTTTGTGGGTGTTCGGGAGCACTTTTCAATTCCCGGAAGCCTGCAGCTTCAAAAGGGAAACGAGAAAGAAAGTGCAGTCGTTAGGGCCACCCTCCCTGGGAAATCCTTGCCCAGAGAGCCAGATGCAGGTGCTGGGGGTGATCAGTGGGGAATTGGCAGAGTGGGCCTGGGTGACTCAAAGAAGAAACCTGGAAGTGAGTGCAAAGGGGAGAAGACACGTTAAGAGGGAATAAACAGCTGGGGGTCCGTTTTCTGGCCTTGCTTTTCTAGCAGGAGGATCAAGTGGTCCATTGTGGTGGTGAGAGGGCGTCCTGGTCCAAGGTCTGGGAGGGCATCAGCGCACTTAGTGATGAGCGTGCCGATCTCCCACCGTCAGTGTGAGCAAGGGGCCTCTGGGTGTGTGATGGCACGAAGGACTCATCCTTTAGCATCGACAGGCGCAGAAAGCTTCTAGCAGAACCACCCATACTCGCCAACCTTCTAGTCCAGGTCAGGGCGACTGTTACGGACAACTCTGATGCTTACTGTGTGTGTGCGTGCGTGCGTGTGTGTGTGTGTGTGTGTGTTTAACAAATATAGAGAAAGACAGTCTTTATTTATGTAACTACAGTGCACTAAGCTCTGTGTGTGGTCTAGGCACTGGGCTGGGTGCCTGGGTGTTACAATTAAAACAAGGACACATAAAAAGACACATTCCTTCCCTCATGGATTTTATGTGAAATCATGAGACAATAGTGAATCTAGTGATCAGTAATGAATACAGAAATTAGTGCTGCGGCGGGTGGTACCAAAGGGGCGCACTCCAGGGCTTGGGAGGAAATGACTTTAGCTCAATCTTTAGGGAAGTCTTCCTGGAGGAGGCATTGGTTGAGTTGCAGTATGAAGGATGCACAGGAGTTCCCCATCAAGAGCTTCAGGAAGAGGGGACAGTGTAAGTGGAGAAGCTTGGGAAATTGGAGGATGTGAGAGAAGCCAACAAGAGACACAAAATGTGGAAGCTCTCCTTTCCACATTGCCAGTGAGGCAGGCGGGGGGTGGACATGCCTTGAAGTCCGTGTGTGGGATCGTGGGATCTTTTTGTCTTCTAGTTCGTAAGTTTTTCTTTAAACATCGTACCTTGTATTGATGGAACCTAATATTAAAGTTATTATAATTATATATACAATTATATATCTATTATATATAAAATGGCAATCAATTTAAAGCTTAAAAGTAGAATGGTTTGCTGGATGACAAGAATGATAAGACTCAAATAGGTATAACTAGTCTCTGCTACTGGGGCACAACCCTGTCCTCTTAGCCTACAAGGGACAGGAATTATTCCATCGTAGGGCACACGGACGCCCCGGGTACCAGTTCATCATGGGCTCAGACCCACAGGTGTCCCCCTGGGGAGTCCCCGGGATAAAGCAGTGCCAAGTGCTTCTGTTCTCAGTAGAGTGTACTTTAGGACCAAATACTATGACTTCCCGATGGATCAGTCTAGAGTGGCACCAGAAAGACTGTCAGGAAAGAGAAATCAGGAAACATGGAGTTAGTGCGGCTTTACTCACAAGCACTAGGTGGTTGTGCTACTTGAAGAGCATTCCTGTAGAATAGTTTATTTGCTTAGATGTGAGCCTATTTGGGATGCATTTTTCCTTGAAAGGTCACTTGTTTACTTTTATTTTTCTAAATTTATTGTGACTTTTCTATTACCGTCTATCCCCCTTGTGGAATGCGGTCTTGATCTAAAAAGTAATGGCAGCCCTGCAGCTGGGAGAGGGGAGACAGGGGGAAGGGAGGGGGCAGGGAGACAGGCACCCTGAGTAGATGACAGAGACCAGTTAGAAAGCGGGTTTGACCGTCAAAGGGACAGAGTCCTTGGACTACGGCAGATGCGCTAGACATAGGGAAAAGTGTGAGCATTAGACAGACATTTGGGAGGCAAATGGACAGAACTCAGCACGCATTTGGAGTTCAGCTGAAACAGGGGAAGATGTATATGGTTAAGACCAAGTTCCTGTGTTCGGTAACGAGCGCGACGGTGCCACCCACTGACACGGGGAATACCGCGGGAGGGCCGGGTCTGTGCAGGACTCCAAGGTAGCCGTTTATGTTTACGAACTCATGGTCAAAATGGAATACAATAACCAGTATTTAAGTACTTTCCTTCACAGTCCTTCGCCTTTGAAAAAAAAATGTGAGAGGTATGGAGATAATTTATATTTAACGTATACAGTTTCTAGAATGCGAGAACTGGATACAATATTACAAACCGCGACACTACGAGGACAGACGGTTTCCATCATTTGACACTGCTCCCTTGTGCCATTTCCCATCCGACCCCCCCCCCTTCACTCTCACTCCCTGGCAACCACCGAACACCTCCGTGCCTGCGCTGGTGCCTTCTCCAGACTGCCCCTTACATGCCTTCCTGTGCTGTGTAGCCTGTGAGTCCGCCTCCTTTAACTCAGCATGCTGACGCGCACCCTTTCTGCCGCCCGCATCGGTGCTTCCCGTTGATTACTGTGCAGTAATCCTTCGTGCGGGTGTCTGCTTTTGTCATCCATACACCAGTTGTGGAATATTTGGGTTGTTTCTAGGTTCGGCTATTAGAGATAACAGTGCTGTGGATGTGTGAGTACAGGGTTTGTGAGGGCATTTCGTTTTCATTTCTGTTGCAAAGAATTCTCTAGGACTAGAACTGCTGTGTTGTGTGTTTAATATTAAAAGTAAGTGCCCGACAGCAACCTCTCAGACATTGTTGGTAGAAGTTTTTTGATCAGATATATCTCCCCAGGCGAGGGAAACAAAAGGAAAAAAAATAAACAAATGGGACCTCATCAAACTAAAAAGGTTTTGCACAACAAAGGAAATCGTCAACAAAATAAAAGACAACCCACAGAATGGGAGAACATATTTGTCCATACATCTGATAAGGGGTTAATATCCAAAATTTATAAAGAGCTTCCAAAACTCAACACCAGAAAAGCAAGTAAGTCAGTGAAAAAGTCAGCAAAGGACCTGAATAGACACTCCTCCAAACAGGACACACAGATGGCCAACAGACATCTGGAAAGATGTGCAACGTCACTAATCATCAGAGAGATGTAAATAAAAACCACAATGAGATACTATCTCACACCTGTCAGAATGGCCATCACCAATAAGTCAACAAACAACAAGTGCTGGGGAAGATGTGGAGAAAGGGGAACCCTTTTGCACTGTTGGTAGGAATGCAGACTGGTGCAGCCACTGTGGAAGGCAGGGGGAAGATACCTCAGAAAGTTAAGAATGGATCTCCCTTTTCACCCAGCAATCCCACTTCCAGGAATACGTCCAAAGGAACCCAAAACACTAATTCTAAAGAACATAAGCACCTCTATGTTCATTGCGGCACTATTTACATTCGCCAAGATATGGAAGCAGCCCAAGTGTCCATCAGTAGATGAGTTAATAAAGCAACTATGGGACATTTACACATCAAAAAGAAAGAAGAAGGAAATTTTACCCTTTGCAACAGTATGGCCGGACCTGGAGAACAGTAGGCTAAGTGAAATAAGCCAGTCAGGGAAAGACAAAGATCATATGATTTCATGCACACGTGGAATCTGACGAGCAAACTGAACTGACAAGCAAAACAGAGACAGGCTCATAGATGGAGAGCAGGGTGACAGCTAGTTGGGTGGGGAGGTTAGCGGGTGGAGGGATTGAACCAAAAATAAGGAGGACTCATGGACATGGGCAACAGTGTGGTGATTGCTGGGAGGAGGGAGGTATAAGGGGACTAAAGGGTAATGGAAAAATATATAATAAAGATTATTGTTTTGAAAATGCCTGATATTAGGATACCCACTGCAGCTTCTTGTGGTTGCTCCTTTTATGATACGCCTTTTCCCCTCCTTTCACTGGCAATGCGTGTGTGTGTCTACAGGACACGCAGTTGCATCTTGTTGTTGTTGTTTTTAAACACAGTCTATCAATGTCTGCCTTTGATTCGATTATTTAATCTATTCACATGTAACGTTCTTGTCGACATCGGTGGACTTACATTTGCCATCACACTTTTTTTCTGTGTTTCCTGTCTTTTTGTTCTTTGGCTCCTCCTTTTCTGCATTCTTTTGCCTTAAATGGGTGTTTTCTAATGTAGCGGCATCTTCATTCCTTTAATGACCTTCTCACCATGTGCTTTGGGATACGGTACTCCCCCTGGTCCATCAGGGATACAGTCCAGAACCTCTGGCGGATGCCTAAAACCCCAGGTGGTACCGAACCCTGTATGTACTGCGTTTTTTCTTATACATGCGTGCACTTTACGGCTTCTCTTTTGTGTGTGCGGATTGCCAGCACCACTACTCTTGTGCTTTGGGCCGTTCATAAGTAAAGTAATGGTTACGGGGACACAGCACTGCAACAACACCTCAACAACCGACCTCCTAACTGAGATGGTTACTAGGGGGCCAGCTAAGCTAAATTCTTACTTCCACTTCCTAGGAATTCTGATTTCTGTAGTCTTGAGCACACTTTTCACTACAAGAACAGCCAGTGAGGGTGAAGGAGAAAATTTCAGAGGGTGTGTCAGCATGGTGCAAATGTTTAGAATTGAGTTAAAAGTCTGCTTTGTGAAAGTACAGGAGTGATTAGGAGAAGAGCAGCTCTTAGTGATACATTGATTGTTCTTCAATCAATTACGCCAGGGAATACTCTGTAAAAAGTCAGCAGGGCATTAACGTGGCTGCCTGTGGCCCATCGCTTTGCATTCCGTGTCACGTACATGCAACAGTGGGTCTCCTTTCTAACGCCCCGAATGTGTGCCATCAGTCTCTGGAGCTCTTCGGATGCAGTATCCCGTGTAACAGGCAGGACAATCCTAGGAGGTAGGGTGCATTATTGTCCCCATTTTACAGCTAGGAAACAGAGGGGCAGAAACATTAGGATGAATAATGTTGGATTTTCTTTCTTGCTTATCACCATTTGTTGCAGTCTGCGTTCTTCTGGCTGCACACGTCCCTTGCTACCTTCTAGCTCTTTGAGGACCTTCCTCGCCCCCTTTGTGTCCAGACCTGGGGCCGCCTGGAGCCTTGAGCACAGACGAGGCCTTCATGGCTCCACTGCAGAAATGCAGCTCAGCGTTGATTTCTGAACCTTCCCCGATGACCTCTGAAGAGACGTCCCAGGAAGTCACAGCAGAAGGGTGACCTCTCACCCTTCCTTCTCAGAACTGCTAATGATGAGCCTCAGTGACCCGAACCCCAGTCCTGGCGCCAACTACCCTGTCCCCGTCCCAGAGGGGCTGCTCCACCAGCGGTACACAGATGAGAAAACCCTGTGCCAGAGGCAGTGGGAAAGGCCCACATCCCCTCAGAGGAAGAGAACACTTCTCGGACAAGTTCAATGGAGACTCCTGGATCAGAATCTCTTCCTCTGGCGATAGAGATCAGAATAGATTTCGGTGTGACTGTGCATACTGCCAGAACTGGGGGTGGAAGGTTTGTGGCGTTCCTGTGCGGGGGGTGGGGGGGGACCCCAAGTCCTTCCTCCCGGGAGAACCTTGCACACGCCTCAGTGGCTTGAGCCTCCACCTGGGTGCTGATCTGCCACCCTCTCTGCCGCATGGGGTGTTCCAACAGCAGCAGCAGGGAGAGGAGAAGCTCCAACTGGAGAGGCGGCAGGAAAGCAAGAGGCCGTTTTGGAAGCTCTGAAAACAGTGGTTCAAAGAAAGCTGACAGTCTTACCTCCCGTGATGGAGATCTGGACAGATGCAACACGGTGTTGCCGGGTCATGGGTGCGGATTCCTTTTGGGGGCCAAACGGTGAGCAGTAGCCTGAGGAGTGACTCGACTAGTTTATGACTGACAGTCCCATCAGCGTTGATCCGATCCCGGGAAGGTCCTGACCTCTCCTCCCTGGAGTTGCACCACTCTGGGGCATTCTGAGGCCAGGGAGACTGCATACCAGTGGTCCCCGACTCCTGTATTCTGGCTCCCGTGATGCATGTTGTCACCTTCACACCCTCGATCTCTGTCTTTCCTCCCTACACTGTCCTCACTGAGGCGTACAGTGTGTCTGCAGTGTGAATGCCTCGCTGATGCCCACGTGCTTTTGAGCCGTTTTGTTGACTGCCTCCATGAAGGAGCCCTGTGCATGCTGAAATGCCTGTGTGCTAGCATGACGTCAGGTTCAACAAGCTAAGGCGACGGAAGTGTGGGAGGGGGGTGTGGCATTGGGATGTGGTGATTCAATTCACCCTTGTGTTCTTTGCGAAAGCCATTATGAATGTGAGCTAAATGCAGGTCAGCGTTTCCCTGCTCCTGAGCACCAGTAGCATTCCCCCTTGAAGGAGTTTCTGATAGAGTACCTCGTCCTCCTCCGTTTCAAACAAATAGACGTGTTAAAGGGAAGTGACTTCAGAACTCAGGTTTGTTTATCCACGTGGGCTTGTTCTTTGTCAGATGTCACATCCCTAGTTTAAATCCCAGAGCCGCAGATCCGAGTAGATCAGGAGGAGGAGATTTAGAATGGGGGGGGCTGTCACTGTTGGCAGTCCTGCAGCAAGGACAGCGCTCTGATCATCTGCGCAGAGGTCATGGCAGAGAGTCCCGCTGTCCAGGGAGAGCGGGAAGCAGAGTCCGTGCCCAGAGGATGGTGCAGGTGCCCCTGTTGTAGCGCTCCAGGGGCCATTCCTTGCTGCTTGGTGTCCCCCGGGATGGGGACTATGAACAGCAGTTTGTTCGGTGCTGCTGCACGAGAACCAGAATATCACTCAGTTATTAAGAGTCGGGGTTTGGACATAATGCCTTTTCACTTGAAGAGGGATGAATGACTGCATCTACCTCCCCATGCCCACCAGAATCCGATGCTGTGTACCCAGGAGGTGACTGTGCAGTTCGTCTGAAGTGAAAATGAATTCTGCATTCTGGCCGTGTGTTTCTCGGTGGTCCCCAGAGCTGTATTGCCGCAAAAATGTATGCTGTCTACACATAGAATGGCTTGAGAATCTGAACGGGTGATCTCATCTGAGAGTCTGGGAGCTGCCCAGACCCTGCCAGGTCTGGCGCGCAGCCCCAGGGAGAAGGTCAGTAGAGCGGGGCTAGTCTCTCTTGAAACACAAAGGCCGAACTCAGCCCGGTCATGTGGGCTGTGTGGTGAGCAGGCCTCACGTGGCGTCTCTCTTTCATTGATCGTTTCCTGGGTGTCAGAGAACCTGCTACAGACATCCATATGTCAGCTGCTTTCATCCTTTGCCACAGACCCCTCATTGAGCAAGACTTCCATCCCGGTTCACGAGGTGGGACGGCAGAGTACAGAGAAGTTGGGGACCGTGCCCAGCTGGCAGAGGTCCGAAAGTGAGAGAGAGCCTCCCTCCAGCAGCCACACCAGGTGAGTCCTGCCTACCAGAATCACTGTGTACCACTCCTGAAGGTTTCCATGGTCTGCCCTCGCCTGCCCCCTGCAGGCTGGCCTGGCTGTTGGAGTGGTGGAAGAGGAGGAATTGCAGAGACTCCTGGCCCTGCACAATTGAGCCTTTAATCAAGGAGACAGATCTGACGCACGTAGATGTGGTCGAGAGTGCGTCATGGGGTCCCCTGTGCTGCACGGTGGCCAGGAGAGAGGACTGAGAAGGATGGGCAGGGGAGAGGGGGTGATGTGGCATGCTGGGGGCGTGCTGAGGCCAGTGCTAACTGCTGACTTTGCTACATGAGGGAGCATGGAGAATGGGGGGGGTGGGGGGTAACCGAGGGAGTCAGAGGCCGCCCCTCTCCCCACTAAAGGCTTTGTCCCCAGACCCAGTGTGGGGTGTCCAGGAGATGTTGGGTCACATCACAGACTGCATGTGGTCCCAACTTACAGACTAGGAGCCAGAATCCACTGACATGCAGACACATGCAGCATGTCAAGTTCTAGAGCAGAGACTGAGCCAGAGGCACCACGAGCCAAGAAATAAGGGAGAGCCTGGGGTAAGATGTAACACATAATTCAGTTTATGGGAAAGGCCCCATGAAGATCAGTCTGAGCTCTGCTGACGAGACCAGTCCTGACCTCTCGTGCCTGATAGTGATGAGCCTGTGGTTCTGGCCTCTGCACAGGGAGGATATCCATCCAGTCCCAGATCCCCACAAGGGGACGCAGGTCCAGGGGAGCAGGCGGGTTGTTGCAAGTGCAAGAGACTCACAGATCTCAGGCCACCCAGAAATAACTGGAGCGTATGCTCTCTATGGAAGAGCAGGGTCCCATCCACAGAGATGCCTGCCATTGCTACCTGGCCACAGCCAGGCTCTGTACGAACTCAGGGTCTTTGTGGAGGAATCTCTTGTCTTTCCACAGCTCCTGAACCCAACTTGAGGGGCAGGGGTCAGAGAGAAAAGTACCACGCCTGAGACAGCAAAAAGTGAGCAAAGGGAAGCAGGTGCAGCACGGCTGTGTAAACGGAAGGACCCAGCCCTTCCTACAAATTGAGCCTAGGTTGAGACACGGGAGCCCTGGGGTCTGCTTTGGAACTAGTCCCTGGTTTCCATGAGAGGCACCCAAGGGGCCGCAGAGAACTTCTGTCACCTAAAGATGCACGGGGGTGGAGGAGACGGTTCTCTGAGCTGCAAGAACCAAACGAGGCAATGGGGATGTAACTGCTGTCTCAGTCACAAGCTCCATGGACAGGAAGACTGTCACAACGGATACCGCTGCTGGCCTTTAACTGGTGATTTTCTGTTATTCAATGGTCTCTCCTCTGTGGAAAACACACTCAGGGGGCCGGGGGCACCCCAGCTGCCCAGAAGTGGAGGCCTGAGACCTGCGCATCACCGGGAGGGCTGGATCGCTGCTCTCTGTCTGGACAAAAGGCACCGCCTGTGCCCCGGGCCGGGCTGTGCCGTGGACAACGGCAGGATGCCCCCTGAAGAACAGATTCTCTGAGGACACACTGGCTGCTGGAGATGTAGACTGAGAGTCTGGGTGTGGCAGCGCCTACTGCACTTCTCACCCAGAACTCAGTCTAGGGAGGACACGGGTATGATTTTCCTCCAGAAGAGAGAAGAAGGGAAACACTGAGTTGTGCTCTTAACCATGTTGGCTTTCTGCTAACTCCCCAGGGAAGGGCAGGCCTGTGTCGTGAAAGGACAAGGAGCCTGGCATCGCCTAGGGAGGCGAGGACCGCTTTGAGGACGCCTGGAGCAGACCCTGCTCACCACAGTGACAACCCGCATGAGCTCCTCCTCTCTGTGAGTCTGTCTGCGCTTCTCCTGTTTCTGTGATGTGTTTTGGGAGTCCGGTTCGTTGTCCTGGGTTGAAGAGATGAGGAGGCAAGGACCCCAAGGTCTCTGAGGACCTCTGTGACAGGGACAGATTGGAAGGTGGGCACAGGAGGGGCCGGTGGGGATGGGGAGCTGCCCTCCCAGGTTCACGGGTGCTGCTCAGGCTGCAGCTGCACTGTGGCTCATTTTTCTGCCTGAACGAACTGGTGCTCATCAGAAGTGCCCGCCCCCTGCGCTGGCCTGTGAGGGGTGGGGGTAAAGGAACTCTGAGTTTGCTTCTGATCAGCTAGGTATGAGTACATGCAACCATGGCAGTGGTCCATGTGTCCAAATGCTCAGTGAGCTTCATGAAAATGCTCATGCTCAGATTTATGCCCCGCCTCCCCACTTCCTTCCACACTGGGGAAGGGGTGTGTGTGGCTAATGAGTGTGTGATGATAGAGGAAGGGGATCTCTGGCACACCCCTGTGGCTCACAGTGCCCCAGGCGGTCTCTGTGGACATGAGGACCCTTGGCTCCCAGATCTAACTGGTGAAGCTCACCCGGGGGTGCGCAGGCGAAACTTGCATTTCTGACACTCACCTCTTGGTCGGGAACGGGTGCTCCCTGGCTGACCTGGTCTCATGTACCTGTGCTGACCCCTCTGAACCTGGGTGTCATCCTCCCTCCCATGCCGGGGCAGGGCTGCCCCCTGCACAGCCTGGGCTGCAGCGTCCTTGGCCCCTTGCCTGCTCAGTCCTCCATCATGAGCCCCCGCCTCTGGCCAGTGACTTTCTACATCGTCCCTTCAAGGAGTGTGGTCCCAGGGGTCTCACCTACATCATGGCAGGAACCACGGCTGCCGCCAGAAGGCCGTGTTCCTAAACTCCACCATCCCTCTGCCCAAGAGTCTGCTGGCTCCTTGAGCAGAGTGTCCTCCTAGGTGTCCCGTGTGAGAATGGGATGGACCCTCCTTGATGTGGAGCTGCTCTTCACTTCCGCACTCACCTCCCTTCCCTGAGATGTCCGACCTCTGCCAGCCTCTGCTTCTGAAGGTCCTTCCCCCGGGACTGGGACAGACACTCTTTTCTGTGCCGTGTCTTTCGTGTCTTTCGTGTGGACTCCTGGTCCCATAGTCTGCCCAGGTCAATGGGGCCTACTGTAGGAAGTTGCCGTGCTGAAAGAAGGGACAATATGGTGTCACAAGACCCTTCCTGCTTTCCAGAAGGGAGGAAGAACAGAGGGCTAGACAATGGAGTGGGAAACAGAGCCAGAGCTGCCATAGCAGTTGCCCAGGATGAGCCTAGGAAAGGGATGGTGCCATCAGGCGATAGGGATTTGTTGTTGGTGGCCTCCAGTAGGCCAGTGCAAGGGCATGCTGGGCACAAAGCCCTACTGAAGGGGACTGAGGAGCAAATGCTATGCAGAGAGGTTGGAGAAATTTCGAACTGAAACCCATGCATTCATGTGCCAGTAGCTGCAGACTCCCATGTGGGATGGGGGTCCAATCCGCAGAGATACCTGCCATTGCTACCAAGATACCAAGGAGGGAGGGACCCAGTTTTCTGTAGGGACCCCAAAGAATGGAGCAGTTCAACCACAGTAAGGCACCGCCCGATAGCTCCCCTGCCCAGACAGTGGACGCAGTACCCAGAAGAGGCTCCAAGCACTTTTTTCCAGCACAAAGGGCGGGGGAGAGAAAAGAGTTCGTGGCTCCACACTGCCACCTGCCGACCACAGAAACTCAGCGCCGGCATTCTTCCCCTTAAGCCCCGTTTTCTCACCGAATTTCAAAAGTAAAACCAACATAAAAATACCAGAGATCAATTCTCCACACACCACCGCCACTGACAGCTGTGGTCAGAAGATGCAGGGAAGGGCCCCAGGAACCCCTACCCCCAACACCAGCTCCACCGCTCCCTTAGTCCCGCCCTCAGAACCAAAGCAATCTTAGCGGAAGTCCCTGGTCCCAGAGCCCGCCCCAGAGGACTGAGGCTGCCCTGCCGGTGGTTTGCTCTGGGCCCTGGGGAGGAGGAAAAGTGAGAGCCCAGCCAGAGTCCCGGCGGGCATCACTTTCCAGTCTTCTCAGGGACCCTGTTTCGAACTGTTAGCTGCTGGGCAGGGCCTGTGCTGTCAAGGTCCTTTTCCCCAAATGCCCCATGTGCCCCCGGTGTGGGGCCTGTTCCAGGTCCCTAGTCACCCTGTGCCCGCCCTAGCCTCTGAATACCCTGGGCCCTTGGCACAACCACCTACCCCCTGTCAGCCTCCATCCTGGGGAAACCTCCTGGTGACATCAGGACCCACGAGCCGGCTCTGGCCTTCACAGAGCCTCTCTGACCTCACATTGTTTCTCCTCCTGGTGACCTGAGCTTCAGTCACCCTGCCAGTGGTCATGCCTTCAATGTCAGGAAACCACCAGCCCCCCCCCCTTGATGTCCTTTCCAGCATTCCTCTCTGCCAACACCTCAACACTGTGCCCTGTAAACCAACCCCCCCTTCCAATCTTCCAATCCCTCTGCTTAAACAGCTTTCAACCTCTTGGGGGCCCCCTCCCCTGTGGACCCTGTGGCCTCACCAATCATCCACCAGGCCTCTCCATAGGCAGCCTACCCAGGGCTATAAACCCCTACCCTATCCCCCCCACCCACCTCTCCTGGTCCTTCCTCCCCTCTGCTCCACACTGTCCTGCTGAGCTCCAGTAAGGGACACGGCCCTGCCTGTGTGTGAGCACCTCAGCCTTGACAACAAAAAACGTCTAAACTTACTGAATATTTTCTCTTAAATCCATGGCAGAGGAGCATCACCTTTTACTTTCCCCCTCACCCTACCTACACCACGAACTTCCTCACTAGCGGCCCTCGTCCACTGCACTGGAGAAGACAGGCGCAGTGAGGTGTGTGACCTGTTGGAGGTCCCCACATCCAGTCTACCTGGTTTTGACCAGACATCTCTGCTGGCCCTGGGAATGCCTGCTCCTCACTGCAGGCAGCCCTCACCTGTGCTGGGCACAAAGCCCTACTCAAGTGGACTGAGGAGCAGATGGTTTGTGGACAAGGTGAAGCAATTTTGCTTTGCAGACCATCCATTCATGTGCCAGTAGCTGCAGACTCCCATGTGGGAAGGGGTTGGGTGTCCCCCATTTGGTGTGGGACAGTCCCGTGTTGCAAAGAGCAGGAGATATTTCAGGAGAGGACTGCTAAGTGCAGGAGCACAGTCCCTGAGCAGGTGGAAGGAGAGGGATGCTGAGCACAGGTGAGGGCTGGCTGCAGACACCAGGGGGGCACGCCCAGGGCCAGCAGGGGAATGTCAGAGGAGAAACAGGTCCATTGGGTTTGGGAAGCCCGGGGAGCCCCTACCTCAGTGCTTCTGTGTTCCGCAAGTGTTCCTAGGAAAGCTCATTGGATTGCCAGAGGGTAGCTCGTGAGGAAGGCAATGGTGTTGGTAGGAGGAAGGTGAAAGTGAGAATCAATGCTCTTCTAGTTAGGGATTTAAAGAAACTAAGGAAGGCTGAAATGGTCGTCATGAGTGCTCCAGCCAGGGGCCTGTCCTCTGCTGGGGCCCAACAAGAGAACATGGAGCAAGCGGGTAGACAGGAGCAAGACAGGTGTGTTACAGGGGAGCTGATGGCCTGGGAGAGGCTGGGGAAGGAGGGGCCGTGTGGGTGGTGAGCAGGCTGTGGGGTCCACACCAGGGACCCCCTGGGCTTGAAGGCTGTCTAAGGGGAGGCCTGAGAGCAGGGGCGTCAAACTCATGTTCACCAGGGGCCGCATCAGCCTCGTGGTTACCTCCAAGCGCCGAATGTAATTTCCAGTCCTTAACAGTTAAGGAGCAGTGACATGTATACAGCCCTAAAACTATTCTGGCCCTTTGAAGGCAACCGCAAGGCTAATGTGGCCCCCTCGTGAAAATGAGTGTGACACCCCTACCTTAGAGGAAGGGTGTTGGAAGAGGTGGCCATGGTTTGTAGGTGATGATAGATGAGGATGCTGGAAACCGCTATCGTGCAGGGGCACCGTGTCCCTGAGGCTGGGGCATGAGCTGGGCATGGGGTCGCTGGGTGGAGAAGAAGGGAAGAATGTGCCTGAGGAGGTAGAGGCTCCTGTGGACAGGGCCAGGCTCATGGGCCCTGAGGTCACAGGAATGGTTCCAAAGAGTGAGGACCCCAGGAGAAAATGACAGCGGAGTTTGTTCAAGCCCTGTGGGGGGCCGGGAGGCTTGTGTGGGGCTGGGGGGGGTGGGGGGGGTGGCGGGGGGCGGATAAGGGAGAAGGGCGTGCCATAGGTACTGGTGGGGGGGGCAATGAAGAAGTGGGTCCACAGCACCAGGGCTCCAAGTGTTTGACTCCCTTAGCTGATAGTTTGTAGTTGCATCTAGCACTAAACCTACAGACAGTGAGGCTCCCGGGGAGACTGGCGGGGAGACTGGCAGAGACTTCCCTGGTCTCCAGCACGCGCGCGCCCAGAACTCGCCAATCACAGGGAGGGTACCACCCACTTGTGGGAGGCAACTTTCAAAGGAGCCTGGATTTCCGGCTCCTGTTGCAGGTTCCCGGGATTCACGGGGGAAATGGACTTGATGGGGTGTTTTGGGCAGGTTCTTCTCCATTCGCTGATACCCGCCATCACTGCCCTTGAGTGCAGCAGCCACTGGGGTCTGTGACTCTCTGTGCAGCCTCAGAAGAAAGGATACCACTTCCTTTCTGTTCAGGGCCTCGTGTTTCTCTGGACAGCAGGGGGGCAGTGGTGCATCGTACATGGGCTGGACTGGCTCTCCCCCGCCCTTCCCGCTGGAAAAAAACTGCCCTGATTCTTTTACTTAATTGGTAGTTGGGCTGTGGGACTGTGCTGGGTGGGTAGCCACCGTGGCTCACGTTTTTTCACTAGGTTCTCGGTGAAAATTGGATTCTACGCGCAGAAAGACTTTGCTTTTCAAGTTGCCTTTTCTTCTAGGTTACCGCCTAGGTCGCTTAGCAACAGGTATTTCAGCTTCCCTACATTGTGTCCACAGTGTCTTTCCCCAGCTCATTTGGTGTTTGATGGTCCATTATGACTATGTAGTTGGGTTATGGCAGTCATTCAGGCCTCATTATAGAAAATGGAGGGACAGAACATAGAGCGTTTCAAAGCACAGGCCCATTGTTGCAGGACAGGGGCCGGGCCCTTACTAGGTCTGCCTAACTTAGCAGGCTCCAGTTTGTGAGTTCTTGACTCCCTGGGGAAATGATCCACAACGCCAATCCAGGTGACTATGTGGATACATTTATTGCATGTGGGGACAGGGGAAACAAGGAAGGGCTTCACCCTGAACAGCGGTGTCAAACTCATTTTCACAGGGGGGCCCCCATCAGTCTTGCAGTTGCCTTGAAAGGGTTGAATGTAATTTCAACTCCTTAACAGTTAAGGAGTAGTTTCATGTATACAGTCCTAAATTATTTCAGCAGTTTGAAGGCAACCATGAGGCCGATTTGGCCCCTGGTGAAAATGAGTTTGACACCCATGACCTAGAAGAAGCAACAGGAGAACCTAGGCTGAGCTGCCTTAGCTCACTGGCAAATCAGTGAGAAGGGGGATTTGGGGGACAGGTTCAGGGCATTAGCCTGGGACAAGCTGCCTGCTGCCCATTGCCTTGGAGTTTAGGGGACCCAGGCCTGTGCAGAAAGATGAGGGGTGGAGGTCTGGGGGGTGTAGAAAGGAAGGAAAGTGGCTCAGGCTGCTCCCCACAGGGAGAGCCCACCCATTGGATCCTTTGTCTTCAGGCTGTTACCTCTGTCTCCAGGCAGCAATCTTAGGGGAGGACTCAGTAGAGTCTGCACCAGGTTTCCAGCTGTGCCCTTATAGGGTGGAGGTCAGTGGAGACCACCTCCACTGATTGGTCGGTGACAGGGAGGCAGTGCGGGGGGGGTTGGTTATTGCAGTGGGTTCTGGCATCACTAGCTGGTGTGGCCCCTTTTCTAGGCCTGGAATAGAACCCAGGCCTAAATCTTATCTCCAGGGAGGGAGGTTACCCTGGGGGACCAGGTCCTTCCTTTCTGAGTTGTGGCCCTTTAGGGCGCTGGGTCCTTTGGCACTGGTAACCTCCTGAACCTGGCAGTAAATGGCTTGTCCTCCCTATCCTGTCCCACCATGGTCCAAAACTGACCTCGAAGACCACTGTGGGAGTCTTTCCCATAGGTCCTTGCCCTGCACAGGACCTCAGTTCTCCAGCATATCCTAAAGTGATTTGTCCAGTGGTTAAAAGCCACAGTCACCCTGGCCTGCTACCTTGGATGACTAATTGGGCCATGCACTGAGGGGCAGGGCCTGTAAAGAATAATACACTGAACACATAGGAAGGGGCCCAGTGACAGCCACCTGAGGGTGAGCTATGTGCTTGAACCAGCCCCATCCGACTGCAATGGTCTTTCTCTCCCCAAGTCCAACTAATGGTGCTGGTGCCGCTTTGACAGACCTCACATAACTGCAAACATGTCCCACATTTCTTACCCAAAAGTTTCTTCAAAATAATAGTGTACACAGGTAATCTGCACTCACTTACACCTACAACTTCTTTACCTTTAAAGGCGTCCTTAGATTGGACTAGAAAATCTCGCCCGGCCCCCCCCGCCCCCCTTTTCTCCCTGTAGGCCTCCTAGAGGGCCTGGATCAGGGCTCCAGGGAACTCCCTCCCTGCTCCACTCTACCAGCCTTCCCGTTTCTCCTCTCCAAGATTCTTTGCTCTCTGGGCCTGCTGTCTCCTTGCTTTTTAAGAAGAGGGTTGCAGCTAAGTTATTGGATGAACAGGAGGATGCAACTAGGAAAGGGTGATGCTCAAGCCCCTACTGAAGTACAGAAATTCATTCCTGTCCTGGTCTGTACAGGGATTTATTCCAGGAAGCGTTTGTCTTACTTGGGACGACCACTTGGGTATCCCCTGGTCCACTTGATCTGTAAGTTGTCCTCTGTGCTGACCCCCCGTGCACCTGAGAGGGAGAATGGAGAGGAAGGACAGCATGAACACGCATGCACTGCGCCATCCTCAGGACTACCAGGCACTGAGTGTCAGCTCCGAGCTGAGGGCCCAGTGCTCTCGAGTGACTCTACCTGCGCTTGTTGTCATGAAAGGTGATTTGGAAGAGAACCTTTCCTCTTTTTATGTAGTTTTGCTGCCTTATTCAAAAGAGTGGCCTGTGCCCTGAGCTCTGTACCTGCATGGTTTACAACCTCCCCAAGATCCGAGCTCCATAGAGATGTGAGTCCTGTTATTAGCTTCATAAATTCTCCATGAAATACATTTTCCAAATAGCAAGCCAGAGTGTTTCCTACACGGGCTAAGTAATGGCACACTTGTAGTTGTATTACGTAGGCACAGACACCTTTTTTTTTCCCATCTAGGGATGTAGGGACAGTCTTTAGTTGCCC